ATTAGTGTGCTGAGAGGTACCAATATCCCAGTGGGGCTAAGGGATAGTTTGGATGGCTTGAAAAAAAAGAAGAATTGAAAAAAAAAGAAAGAAATAAAAAGACATCTTGAAAACTCACTTTTATTTGTAAAGGACTTAAGTTCATTCTTTATACTTAAACTTGCTCTAAACCTAATTTCATTGGCACTTGATCCACTCTAACTTGTTAATCTACTAAATACTCTAAGTCTTGGAGCTTGAGTGGATAGGAGCAGAGTACAGTTTAGCCCATGTGAAAGATCTAAATAGTGGTGTCACTTTTTGTTTTTGAAGTTGAGAACAGAATCATATGTATTGACTGACACAAATACACACTGGCATGTCAGTTCTCTTCTAAATAAAGTGAAGCAATTTCAAACCCAAATGAACTACGTGACTTGACACTTAAACTCGTGGGTTATCTGACAAACAGTAACTCTTGTTTCCAAAGCATGGCATAACAAATCAACAAGGATATCAGATTAGGTTTATATTCAGCTGTCTTCACACGCTCTCAACTGTTACAAAAACCAAATAAAGGTAAAATGTAGCAGAAAATTGGTACATTATCTAACCATGCATGACAGATCTACATTATTTTACCCATAATATTGCAGCTCTCTTGAATACTGATTATCCAAGACATAGATCACCGATACAAAATGACACTTCTGAAATAATGTAGCTTAAACAGACAATCTAAAACTTTTTTTGTATCCAATATGGATCTGATAATGAAATAAATACATCCCATCTTTGACTCATCGCACTGTGACTTTGAGAGGTAACATTGCATCAGCAGCATCCCAGCAGGTGAATAACGGAGCCTGACTACCTCACTTTCTGCTCTGCTGGGGGGAGGAGATAAGGACACTTGCTGTATCTCAGCTGATAAAGGAGAAAGCAATGTCAAGAGTTGGCTGCTGTGTAAAATGTGATATTAGATATATAGTAGTAGTATAGTAGTATATGTGCACAGAGTTTCTATCACAGCGATGCCACTATCACCGAACCTCACACATCACTAAACCAGAGGCCCTAAGCCAGACCCCGAAAAATGAAAGAACAGAGAATATCGACCATCACTACTACAAGCCTTATCAAGGGAATGTGTGTAAGCGTGGGATTACGAAATGCTGTAATTCCCTAACAACAGCAGTATTTCCATTTGCTAGGGCCCTTACACAATTCGAATTAAGAAAATGAATCCTTACCCTAAGGAAGTATGAACAGTACATGGAAACAAGTCTGGTCTGAAAATGTGTGTAAACCAACTAAACAAGTACAGGAAGCAGTGGATGAGAGAATCTCAAGGATGAAGAGTGAAGACTAAGTACTTTTAGCATGAAAAGCAGTATGGTGAAAGCTGTACCTGGTTTTGTCGGTGTAGAGAAGGAGCCAAATCCCTGGGATGCGACACTCCCTGCACCAGTGCTGAAGGTCCCACTAGGTTTCTGCTCGCCAAAGGAGGCCTGTCCAAAACCGAAGGCCTTTGCACCACTACTCCCAAACAGACTGTTGGCACCTGGAGAAGAATAAGGCAGATAAATGTATCTTTCAAAAGCAGTAACATGGGAGTTTGTTCCCAGTACTTTTGCTTTGTGTTTCCATTTGGCTTCCAGTATGGTAAAGATATAACACTCAACAATATGTGAAAAGATGTTAGAATAAAAATAAAATTAAAAATAAATCAACAATCTTGATTATTATCATTATCATCATCATCATCATCATCATCATCATTATTATTATTATTATTATTATTATTATTATTATTATTATTATTATTATTTAACATTTCAGTATGAACATGTAATCTTTAGAGTGTAAGAGTGTGTCACTTTCTGTCTTATTTGTCAGTTTCGAAATCGTGTTTATGACCTTCATTAGTTAATACACTCAGAGAAAGAGGAGAGTAACAATTAAAGACTGAAACACAGTGATAAAAGAAACACACAAAAGCAGAATTCTATGTACTAAACTAAAAGACATTTTTAATTAACAATATAGAATGAATACATTAACAAATGAAAAGCTAAACTAAAAAATACTTTCTAAAAAAGTAAGAAATGCAAATTTTTGACATAAATAATAACTGCACAACAATAGCTATTTAATCTTAAAACAAAATAACAATAACTAAAAATGTGATCACCCCCCCTAAGGAGAGAGTAAAAATAGTGAAACACTACGACGGATTGGCATAACAACACATCGTACTAAGGGGTGGGGTAATAATTGATCAATAGACGGCAGAAAGATATCGCGGAGTACTTTGAAGCACCCTGATACAGTAATATCGGAATTTTTAACTCCAAAGATCAGATTTAATTGCTAAGAAGTAGATGATCAGGTGTTAGACGGCGGTGCGATTAAGTAAGCAGGTATGAATTTACCGTCCATCCATCCGGATAAGATGCCCGCCCCGAAGAGCGACTCTAGGTGTGTATGCGTAGTATGTAGAGAGCCGTGGCTCTTCGAGACCTTTTCGCAACCAATTAACAAACGCCTCCGCCGCATGCTCCTTTCAAACGCTGACCGCTTCTCGGAAGCCGACCCTTGTGGCTTCAAGCTTGAAAAGGAAGATTGAGTGAAGAACAACAAGTGGATAAAGGAGGTGAGAATGCCGTTTTAAAGCGCTCAGTCGTCGGCTGCCTTGAGGAGAAAGATGGATTGTGGGGGAACAGCAAAGGAAACGTTGCGGGAGATTTGCAGCGTAGCAAGACAGCCCGCCGAGAGTATGGTAATTCAGAGGTCGTTAGCCAGCCGAGGGTAAACGGGGGGGGGGCCGCGACGTGAGGCGACTGCGGTAGTAAAGCAAGAGGTGATGGCGCCCAGGTAATTGGAGATGTTAAGCTGCTTTTCTGTGTGTATTATACGGTGAGTTTGGGTGGGGTGTAGAGATGGTGGGCGATTGCTCCGACACCGCCCATGGCGCTGCGCACCTGCACACACCTTGTTGTACATGCGTGGCGTTAGTCCGGTCACTGAATGTAGTGCATGCGCGGTGTGCGTGGTGACGGCAATAGCCAATGTAGAGAGTTGTGGAGGGGCGGGGCGGAGGTCGGTTCGGTTGCTCACAATGTAGGCTGAATGAGCTCCACCACAAGTAACACCGAGCGCCAAGGGCCCCTGTGGCTCGAGAAGACAAACGCCACAGGCAGCTTGTGAAACTGAATAGCGAAAGATTGGGCAAGGTGAGGATTGGATTATTTATTGAAATGTAATTAATAATTAATAAGGTTGAATATAATGGGAGAGCTGTTGTTGAACTGATAATGGAAGCCTGGTGACTGCAATTTGGTCCTGTCTGTAGTCAGCAGTATGCATCTGTATGTGCTTAACAGAACTATGTGATATACTCGTGAGATATCGCGATATCGTAGTACCTACGTATCT